TGCACCTTCTCTAAAATACTAGAAAAAATTATTCACGGAAGACTTCTTTTTCATCTGTTAGACAATAACCTTTTGTACAAATTTCAGAGTGGCTTTCTGCCAAAACATAATACAGTAAATCAACTTGTAAATATCATTCATGACCTTCATATTAATATAGATCAAGGTAAAAATGTACGTTCCATATTTCTCGACCTGACGTCAGCTTTTGACCTTGTTCCACACCGGTTATTACTTAAAAAACTTAGAGCTTATGGTTGCGATAATAATTTTGTTTCACTGATGACATCTTATCTTTCTAACAGGAGAATACAAGTACGGGTCAACAATAGTTTATCAAGATGGTCAAAAGACCATGAACAGTTGAATCAGTTGAATGCTGAAGTTGAACCAGAAGATAATGGTAACCGTAATCACAACTTGATCATCAATGCCGGTGTACCACAGGGGTCTGTTTTGGGACCCCTACTTTTTCTAATTTATATTAACGATTTGCCGGATAATCTTAATTCTAAAACTTTCATCTTTGCCGACGACACTTCTCTGTATGATGCATATGATAAAAATGAAGTACACATGAACATTAATCAGCCATTACAACATGACCTTGACATTCTAAACAATTGGGCTTCAGTGTGGAAAATGAAATTCAAAGCCCAAAAGAGTGCTGATATAACATTTTCAGGGCTACGCACCAAAGTTAACAATCAGTCTCCCCTGTTTTTAGGGGATGAAGAAGTTCCCAAATGTATAATGCATAAACACCTCGGATTAGTCATGGACAGTAAACTAAATTTCAATGCACACATCGACCAATTAATTGTAAAGATTAACAACTTAATCAGACCATTGAAAGCTCTATGCAAAAAATTATCAGCCAAGCATCTTGAGACAATTTATAATGCCTACTTTATACCTCACTATGACTATTGTGATATAATTTACAACAAAGCTTCCTTAACCAAACTCCAAGCTCTAGATAAGTTACACTACAGAGCAGCCTGTTTGATATCTGCATGAGCCTGGTCTCTGTATCAACTTCGAAAATGAATATTTTTATGCCAAGACATATTGAGATAGTTTTTAATAGGCTTAGAGCTGGCCTCCTCTTGAATAGCCATCTATATTCTCACAACTTTGTCTCAGTAACTGATCCTAAATGTCCATGTGGTTCTAGGTTTCAAACTACAGAGCATTTTCTGGTTAAATGTCCACTGCTTGTGAATGAAAGAGATGTTTTACTTGCAGGGCTAACAGACTTAAATCTTTTAAGTGAATTTGAAAACTTTTCAAACCAAAATAAAACTGATTTTCTCTTGTATGGTGACAATTCTCTAAGTGTTGAAGTCAATGAAAAATTAATTGAGATTTCAGCTCACTTCACTAGTCAAGCTTTTAAAGCTCTTGATCAAGATCTTTTTAATAACTAGGGTAAAGAATTGAGGTAGAGGGTGGGGCAAGCAGAGTAAACACAGTAATACATTCCATATTATTGCAAATGTTCAGTGTATTTTCCTAATCAATCAATATTTTTTGTCAAAATAGTTACAATTGCCGCTAATGTTATCTAATAACCTTGGCAATTTTTCTTATGTACACATTTGATGATTGATCGAAATAAACTGGAATATTAAAAAAAAAAAAACTGGTCAATGTACTGCAACTAAAGTAAGTAAAAACATATATCAAATATATTGTGTATTGTAATATATTTCTTAGCGATAGGAACCCCTTTGGTATAAGAATATAGTATTAAATTGAGATAGATTAACTAATGTTTCTGTAAGAACTATGCTGAAATCGTTTAAACCCAATAATTGATAAAACATATAGGGTTAAAGTACACGGTGTATAACCCAAACGCTCCTTGATGCACGACGGAGCGTTTCATTTACGCGGAAACGCTCCGGAGCGAAATAAAATGACGGCTAATGAAGATTCCACTATGACCGTAAGTATTGTTTCTCTCGTTTCTCTTACATATCAAATGTTATGGTGAAATATTATGTACCATTCGATGAACAATATCGTGAGCAAAAATCTTATTTATTCAACTTCTGGTGGTAAACTGTTATTTGCTTGATCAAAGCTCCGTAGTGTAGATCGAAAAAATCTGAAGATGACGATTTGACCACAAATTACGAATTAAACTAGTTTTTCTATGAAAACGTTAATCTTTCTGTTAAAGTAGTAGATCACAAACTCGTATATTCTCATTTCCTAAAATCCCAGTCCAAATCCATTACTTGTTCTCAAGAAATCGCTTGTTTTCCTCGAAACGCTCCGTCAATTTAGAACACAATTTTAGAAACGCTCTTACCATTTTGTTTTGATACCATTTTCAGATTATTAGAGAAGAGTTCCAAATCGAATCTATCTCTCAAAAACGTATTGTACTTGTTAGGCAAATTGAAACATCTGAACCTGGTGGTGCTAAACGTGCAACTAGCTGATTTAAGCCTACATTAGATGATGTTATGCCTACATGTGTGCTTAATCATAAAACTATAGAAAAAACGAAAATATATATGTGAGTTAATCTTTCTTCTTTTGATGCCAAGGGGTATAATAGATCTTTTCTTTCTCTTCCTGAAAAGGAAAGGTAAGCTATATATTTCCTAAACAGATCTAGACTACCGGAGCGTTTCCAGTTCACTGTGTTAACCAGATCGGAGCGTTTCTTGAATATGAGAATGTCATCATTTTTAAGACTGGATTTTCAGTCATCAAATCACTATTACGATAATGTATGGTGCGTTGAAGCATTGGAATTTGACTAAAATATACGTTGGTGCTCTAATCTTGGGTCAACTAATCACATATATTGACAAAAGGGGTTTTGACCGGTAGAATGACAAATACGTTTTTGGATTTTGATAACTATACTGCTTCGTACAGCTCTTCCTAATTGCTTCAAACGTCAACAGCCAGCCAAGTACAACATGAATATCACACCCATCGAATGGTATACTCGAAATATGAAACTCACACCCCTTATTCCCATAATTGGGGAAATCGTCAGACGGCTCATCATTCCCGCCAGCCAGTTTTCCTACTCCGGAGCGTTTCTTTGTTTAATTTCAGTAATGAAACGCTCCGTCGTGCATGTAGGAGCGTTTGGGTTATACACCATGAAGTAGTGATCAAGCGACTCCAAACTGCACAAAACTCAAATAAATATAAATAGCATAACATTGTGGTAAAAATTATCAAAGGCACCTAATACAGTAAGTTCTAGTTCATCATCTAGATCAACAGTGAAACCTGTATATCCCAACACCTGACTATTCTGAACACCTACATGTACCAATCATCCCAACACCCGAGGAACGCTTTTAGCTGGTCCAAATAGCTTTCAGATTAGAGAGATTTTATGTAGTTCATTATTTTCACTCCATCTATAAGCAGCAGACAAAACTACTGCAACAGGAATATATTCTACACCTGATCTCTAAGCTATGGAATCATAGTTGATACTATTATGCTAATAACCTTCGATTATCAGGGCTCGTCCAAGGCTGTACCTGAATTACATGAATTGGAGACCTGATATTTTTCAAATTTTGCACTTGTTTAAAACCTTGAACTTTCTTAAAACTCATCTTAGGTATCTTTTACATCTTATTTAAACACTTTAAAATAATATATTTCATCAATGAGGTATAGATGTAAAAACCATAAGGGTCATCTTTGGTTATACCTGAAATTCATAAATTTGAAACTTAATATTTACATTTCTTCAAATTTTAGACTTGTTTAAAACTTTTAACTTCCTTAAAACCCATCTAAAGTATGTTTTACATCTTAGTTCCACACTAAAAACCATAAATATTATCAAAGAGGGATGGATCTAAAAAACTATAGGGGTCAGCTATAGTCATACACAAAATCCAGCTGTCAAAAATGTCAAATAATTCGAAAATCAACAATTTTTTTCTCAGCTCCTACCTCTTCAATGGCTTTGGATCTTTCAGGGTTACTAGCCCTGCTATTGGGCACTTCACATTAATTTTTTTAACCTCTTAGTATCTAATTGAAAAGCTATGATCAAAATAGTAAGAAAATGGGTCACTAATTAGGAGTAATTAGCATCAATTATACTGCAAATGATTCATATATATAAAATATGTATATATAATATATGTATCTCACTTACAAACAGCAAAATATCTAAGGTTATTCAGTGATAACAATTTTCCCCAGGGTGGAGTGTTTTTGGGGTGTGGGGGGGCTAACCTCTCAAAAAAAACTTCCTACCACTCTGCGAAGCTATCACCTAGGTGGAAGCTTCATCCAAGACCATTAACTGAAAATGCAGCCAAACCAACCATAGACCATTTATTGAGAACTTTCCTCCTTGCTCCTAGAGTATGTCCACTCTAGCTGTTTTCAAGAGGACATGGGGAGAAGCACTTCATGAAAAGCAATATAATAAAAATGAAGATGGTACTTTTACATGTACATGCTACCACATTTACGCCAGGAAAAAATAAGGTAATTTAAAACACAATCAAACATGTTTAAAAATTGATACGAAAAAGGAGAAATTTGGAATTTTTTCAACAGAGTACTGGGTTTCTTAAAACAAATCAGAAGATTGGGGTTTCTGAAAAAGGAAACAAAAAATTTAACAATAATACATGTACTTCAATCGAAATTTATTGATTATATGATTATAGTAAAATCAGGAGAAATCATATTTTTGTGTACGTAAGGTATATGTACATGTAAGCATTTACAATAAGTTGAGACATGAAGTGACTTACTGTACTTCTTCTTGATTTGGTGGCCGTTTTAATTTGGCAGATCTGCCATATTGTTAAAGTCCAATAAATTCCCTGGTAATTTTAGGACCATTACTAAATTAGTACCATTAGTACATTGTAATATTGCAAGTCCGCCAAATCAAGTAGCTGCTAAAAGTTCAAAGCAGCATATTTGCCAAAATAAGAAGCGCCAAATGAAGTAGAAGTACAGTTGTTAAACGCAATTACTCTTACTTCGTCATGTATGCTGATACAAAACCTGCCATCTATATTAAATTGCTGGAACAACCAGCGCATTGAAACAAGCATCAGGTGAAGGTAGTCTACTGCAGAGCTCTGGACAACCCAGTTCACCCTACTAGTCATAAACTACAAAACATCAAGACTAAATTAATGAAGAGTCATGACTGGATTGAATATACTTAATTTCGTATGTTTAGATCCTAGGTCACTATTACAAGATGTCACAAAAAAATCAGCGGTACTCGTACAAGATGATAACTCCTAGTAAATGTATTCGGTATTGTTCATTGTCAAGAGCACTTCTTTAAATTATAATATTGAAATGATTTAACCACTTTACATTTTGAAAATAAATTTCATGAAAGCAATTATGAATAAAAGAATTTGTAGAAATCTTGGCAATAACAGTAAACAGTTTTTTAAATGGTCTTAATTAAAACTCTAAAAACTAACATACATAAAATGTAACAGATCGAGAGAGTGAGTTGTATTGAAAGGTCTGAGCAATTGTTAAAATAGTAAAAAACAATCAATATTTTGACCCATTCCTACTACTATACTCCTTACATCAGTGTCAACTGCTGAAGGTTCCAAAGTTCTACTGATCCTACATCCTAGTACAGGGGTGGCTGGCTGGTCACTCTCAGCTATCATTTCAAGCTTGTTGAACATATGCGACTCACTGAGAAAATAATAATTAGCTGTCATTATTTTTGCATTCATTTTTTATTAGTTGGATATCATGCTATTATGGTACATAAAATATTGTATCCGAGTCACTTCAATGGGAAGATGGATTTTTTATAGGCAGATGCAACTTTTTACATGGTGGACACAACTTTTTATATGAGGGATGCATCTTTTTATATGGCCGAAGTAAATTTTTATATTGGCTTTAAAACCTGAACACCATTCACAAAAAATGTTGGAGACTTAAACAATATGTCACCACTCCTGGTGGTGACATAGTAAGTGGGAAAAGCTACATAAAATAAAGGAGGAATGATAGTTGCATCCATGAACTCTTCTCTGATCTCAATATATTATAACACATACACTATATATGAGTAAACATTACTCCACACTCTTCTTATTATTTATAAATAAATTAATATAGCCTGTTTTGCTGAATGTAAAAGATGATTACAATAACGAAGTACTTTTCGGATGTGTTCATACAACAGTTACGGCATGTTTTAACAATCATGGATATGGTCTGTCTGGTCATGCGCAAAATTACAAAATGGTCAATGTTAAGCATATTGTGGAAATGATTTTTACCATTTTAACTTTGTCTTTGCACTTACCTTCCTCCCCTTAAATTACAAAATGGTCAATGTTAAGCATATTGTGGAAATTGATTTCTACAATTTTAACTTTGTCTTTGCACTTACCTTCCTCCTTCCCAACTCTTCTCTCTTTTGTAGAATTCCTTTTCTTTGTCATCATACTTGAATTTTCTACAACATTACAATGAAAATATCTTAAATTGTATATTTACAATATATTGTCTTGGTAAGTGTTTAACATCTTACATGATTTGTGGAACAAAACACATGAGCTGAAAATCGATAACTCTTGCAAGTAATTTCATCAACTTACACAATGTACAAAAAAAGAAATCACCTTTGATAACCATGTTAAACATGATACAAGACTATTATTAGTGATCAGTTAAGATAGGTTTTAGTAATGTGCAAACTGTTCAACATGTGAGCTGTTTAAATATGTCATATAATAAAAAATAAACAAGACACACAGTGATAAATATTGCACTTTGAAGAGCAAACTGGCCACCATGCAATTTACCCAGCATGGCCAAAACCTAATCAGACCTTGGCACTAGTCTGCTCTTGCATCTGTAAACATTTCAAGTTGACAAGGTTAGCGGTTTTCCTGCAATTTTGGGAAAATTTAGATAACATTGTTTGTGACCTAATTTGATGACCTTCGACCTTGAAAATTTTACTTTTTCAGACCTCAGTAGGTCTTTTAAAATTAAGCTGACCTAAATTTAAATTCAAAATATCAATTTAGAAAATCAAATTTTTGACCTTTACAAGGTCACTGAAGGTCAACGAAAGGTCAAATCTGAAATCTAAGGTCAGATATCTGAAATCTAAGGTCAGATTTGAACTTCTGAGAACTTGTAGATGTTTTTAAAAAAAAAATTGGTCAATTTGGAGCAAGTTGAAAAATTCAAAATGGCCGCCAAATTGAAAAATTCAAAATGGCCACCATGTAATTCAGCCAGCATACCCAAAACCTAATCAGATCTTGGCAATAGTCTGCTCTTGCATCTGTAAAAATTTCAAGTTGAACGGATAAGTGGTTTTCCTGGAATTTTGATGACAAGATTTGTTGAAAAATTCAAAATGGCCGCCACGTAGTTTACCCAGCATGCCCTAAACCTAATCAGATCGTGGCACTAGTCTGCTATTGCATGTGTAAAAATTTCAAGTTGAACAGGTTAGCGGTTTTCTTGGAATTTTGATGACAAGAATTAATTGATTTGTAGTATCAAACTTTGAGAAACTTGGATAACATCATTTGTGACCTAGTTTAATGACCTTGACCTTCGACCTTGAAAATTTCCCTTTTTCAGACCTCAGTAGGTCTTTTGTAATTAAGCTGACCTAAATTTAAATCCAAAATATCAATTCAGAAAATCAACTTTTTTGACCTTTTCAAAGTCACTGAAGGTGAATGAAAGGTCAAATCTGTGACCTAGTTTAATGACCTTGACCTTCGACCTTGAAAATTTCAAGTTGAACAGGTTAGCGGTTTTCTTGGAATTTTGATGACAAGAATTAATTGATTTGTAGTATCAAACTTTGAGAAACTTGGATAACATCATTTGTGACCTAGTTTAATGACCTTGACCTTCGACCTTGAAAATTTCCCTTTTTCAGACCTCAGTAGGTGTTTTGTAATTAAGCTGATCTAAATTTAAATCCAAAATATGAATTTAGAAAATCAACTTTTTTGACCTTTTCAAGGTCACTGAAGGTGAATGAAAGGTCAAATCTAAAATCTAAGGTCAGATTTGAACTTCTGAGAACTTGTAGATGTTTTTTTAAAAAAAATTGGGTCAATTTGGAGCAAGTTGAAAAATTCAAAATGGCCGCCAAATTGAAAAATTCAAAATGGCCACCATGTAATTCAGCCAGCATAGCCAAAACCTAATCAGATTTTGGCAATAGTCTGCTCTTGCATCTGTAAAAATTTCAAGTTGAACGGATAAGTGGTTTTCCTGGAATTTTGATGACAAGATTTGTTGAAAATTTCAAAATGGCCACCACATAGTTTACCCAGCATGCCCTTAACCTAATCAGATCTTGGTACTAGTCTGCTCTTGCATCTGTAAAAATTTCAAGTTGAACAGGTAAGCAGTTATCCTGGAAATTTGATGACAAGATTTGGTTTATGTGCCGCCCGCACGCCCGCACACCCGCATGCCCGCCCAACAGCACAAGACGACGACAATATAGCACTTTTTCAAAGTGTGATAAAAATAATAGATCCAAAGGTGAAGCTTAGGAGTTGATACTAAAGTACTATAATAGAAGGAACCATTAAAGGTCCATAAAACAGAATATGAATCTAAAATTTGAATTTGTCTGTGATAAAGCCCCTTCTCTCTAACGAGGCTCATATTCTTAATAACACATACTTACATTCTACCTTTTGTTGAATTGAACATGAAGTTCACCTTTCCTCTAACCTCATCTTCAGTCAATTGATGGTTAAGTCGCCTAAGTAGTCTCTGAGCAAACAGCCTCCCAGCGCCATAGATCCTAGCATAGTTAACAACCTGCAATAAAACATGAGTCAATTAGGAGAAACAAAGAAACATGATTGGAACTGGAGTAACAGAGATATATGAGTCAATGTGGAGTAATAAAGAATTTTACGTCCATGTGGAGTAACAAAGAAACATATATCAGTTGGAGAATGTGGAGTATCAATGTAATGTAATAAAAAATATCAATAGTCAATGTCGAGCAACAATGAAGCATGAGTAAATGTAAAGTTACAAAGTAGCATGAGTTAGTGTGGAGAAGCAAAGTATGAGTGACAATGTGGAGTTACAAAGTAGCATGAGTTAGTGTGGAGAAGCAAAGTATGAGTGACAATGTGGAGTAACAAAGAAGCATGAGTTAGTGTGGAGAAGCAAAGTATGAGTGACAATGTGAAGTTACAAAGAAGCATGAGTTAGTGTGGAGAAGCAAAGTATGAGTAACAATGTAAAGTTACAAAGTAGCATGAGTTAGTGTGGAGAAGCAAAGTATGAGTGACAATGTGAAGTTACAAAGAAGCATGAGTTAGTGTGGAGAAGCAAAGTATGAGTAACAATGTGGAGTAACAAAGTAGCATGAGTTAGTGTGGAAAAGCAAAGTATGAGTGACAATGTGAAGTTACAAAGAAGCATGAGTTAGTGTGGAAAAGCAAAGAATGAGTGACAATGTGGAGTAACAAAGTAGCATGAGTTAGTATGGAGAAGCAAAGTATGGAGTGACAATGTGGAGTAACAAAGTAGCATGAGTTAGTGTGGAGAAGCAAAGTATGAGTGACAATGTGGAGTAACAAAGTAGCATGAGTTAGTGTGGAGAAGCAAAGTATGAGTGACAATGTGGAGTAACAAAGTAGCATGAGTTAGTATGGAGAAGCAAAGAATGAGTGACAATGTGGAGTAACAAAGTAACATGGGTTAGTGTGGAGAAGCAAAGCATGAGTGACAATGTGAAGTTACAAAGAAGCATGAGTTAGTGTGGAGAAGCAAAGTATGAGTGACATGTGGAGTAACAAAGTAGCATGAGTTAGTTTGGAGAAGCAAAGTTTGAGTGACAAAGTGGAGTAACAAAGAAGCATGAGTTAGTGTGGAAAACCAAAGTATGAGTGACAATGTGGAGTAACAAAGTAGCATGAGTTAGTGTGGAAAAGCAAAGTATGAGTGACAATGTGAAGTAACAAAGTAGCATGAGTTAGTGTGGAAAAGCAAAGTATGAGTGACAATGTGGAGTAACAAAGTAGCATGAGTTAGTGTGGAAAAGCAAAGTATGAGTGACAATGTGGAGTAACAAAGTAGCATGAGTTAGTGTGGAAAAGCAAAGTATGAGTGACAATGTGGAGCAACAAAGCTTGAGTCAATAATCTAATGTAACAAAGAAATATGAGTCAATGTGGAGAACAAAGAAGCATCAATGTAGTAAAAGAGAAGTTTATGTTGATGTGGAGTAACACTGAGAAGCATGAGTCAATGCGGAATAACGATAATAATTAAACAAGGCATTAACAAGCAAAATGTCACCACATGCCATTTGTTACAGATGCCAACAACCAACCATCGGATGCCAACCACCAGAGACCATAACAATTTGTCACCACTTTTGGTGGTGACTCATTATTTAGTGAAAACTGTTCTGAGTTCTACATGTACCTTAGCCTGGTCTCTTGAGATTCCCATCATAGCTGCTGTCTTACTGTGGAGGTCAGTGCCCTCTGTCTTGTTGCCTTGTAGGGTCATCCAACCAAACGCTGTGGAACCTACAATGTAATGATCATTCTTGATGCTTATTGTTCAAGTTCAGAGGTCAGTTTTTAAAACTGAACTTGAAAAATCCTTTGAAACTTGGAATATAAGGGACAGATATTCTTGCTGCTAATTGTTCATGCTAAGAGGTTAGTTTTCAAGTTCATATTTTTAACATGGAAGTTTATGTAAAATTAATTAGAGCAAACTTGTGAAAAGTATACAAGTTATAAGACTTAGTGTGTACACTTTATCAGGATGTTTAATAGTTTAGGTTTAGATGGGTCACAATTGATTGTTGCAAAACTAGCAATGGTTCAACATACCATGTTGACGTGCAAAGTAGGAATCCCCCATTATTGCTGCTATCCAGAGTTCCTGCGAGTCTACATCTGCCCCAACAAAGTGGTACCCTGGGGGTGCCTGTACTGCGGCCTTCAGCTCACTGCCAACTCGGTCAGTCTATAATATATAGTTAAATCTGTTTTAGTGAACACCTAATCAGTCTTGTATGAACACTTTTGTAATTGAGCAACATAGGAGATAATATTCTATTTTGCTTGGTCTTGCATTAGGGTCCAATGAGATATGGTGAGTCTACATGCACTTCATGCCCAGCCAAAAAGTGCAACATGTAATTTATTAGTTCTAACCTTATCAGACTTAACTCATATAAACAAATTAAAAGATATAGAATATACCAGTTTTAATTTATAAATGCATTATTTAAAGTCAGTTTGAGTGACTAATGGAGTGATATAGGATATTTGACATACATAAGCATTACTAGCAGTCAGCCATGTAGGTTCTACAGCACGTCGTGTCACAGTTCCAGCTGTCACAATACGTGGCACAATGGCTCCATACATCCCATTAACATCATAGTCACGACTCCTGTAAGACACAATAATACAGCTGACTAAGAGGCCACAATTTCAAGGAAATAATTATTTTCAGACATTTTTTCTTGAACTGAAAGTTATGTCATGTCTGATAGAGGAGTGTAATCTCCTGGAAAGGTTCAATTCTGCCTCTTGTATTTAGTCTGAAAAAATGTATCACATTGCAAAATCAACATGGCAAACTACAAGTTACAATGTAACTAAACAATTCTTAAAACTGAATTTTCTCTCCTTAATGGTGGCATGATAAATAAGCAACAACATAGAACATTTTCAAAAAACATTTTTCTTATACGGTTTCTGAATGCTTGCCTGAATGTTGTTGCTCTTTGATGGAAAAACTCACTTGACAATGTTTGAGGATAATTCTGATTCTTTCATCCAAATTGTCATCTGTGATCTGTAATGGAAATACAACATATCTCAAGCCTTATTCACTTTTAGGGATTAGCATTTTTCACATTCATTCTAACCACAGAGTCATGTGGGTTTTAATATTAACATTTCACTCAATGGAATTTGATTTTTAATAAGCCCAGCCTGAGTTTGGCAGACTACTATTTTGTTTTCCAATACACTCAGAAGAGGAATTAACTGAATTGCAATTGCAATACTGAGAGTATCCTACTTTGCATCCACAAACGCTTGTGTTTTTTTAACATGCTTAATTTTCATTCGTTCACATGTTTAATGTTTCCTGATATACTGTTATAGTTTGGTAATCTACAGTCTCACTCATCAGTAAATTAGTAAAAGTTAAGTAAATCAGAGTTATTCTATTGAATTAAAGGGACTCAACTCACTTTATCTTTTGATTTGCTGTGCTAAGCATACCTAAGTTTCTTTTGATTTACTTATTTGGTAAACGATATTTTGAGTGATTATAGTACTCATCAGATTTTATTTTTGAAATCTGATTTCACAATTCATGACTTGATTATACATATGTGACCAAACTAGCGTAATCTTTGTTTAGGTGTGCTAAGCATAGCTATGTTTCTCTTGATTTACTCGCTTAATAGGTAGAGGATATACTGAGTGATTATAACAGTACTCATCAGATTTATTTTGGAGGCTTATTCCACAATCTTATTTAGTTAACAATATAATGAGTGATTTCAGAACTCATCAGATTTTATTTTGATGGCTGATTTGAGTGATTTCAGAATCAATCAATGAGCGATTATCCAATTATCCCTCATAAGTTCATTTGATTTGATTTGATGTGATGGGTAATGTAATGCATATCAATGTAAATATATTTTAATCTGGAAAATATCTGTATATATCTGTAAATACTATATTAATCTTGTTTTGAATGATCGGGATTATAATATGATATATGTTTGCAATCATGTTATGACAGTGCTTGCTCCTTTAACTTTTTTCCCAGTCAATGTCCAGTTAATGACTGGCAGCTTATCAAATGAACTGACATGTTTCATTATCACAAATATGAACATTTATGGTGAACCTACACATTTTTACCTATTTGAACAACATTATAACCGCCGATAACAATGGCATGAATTTATGGATGGAACTTCCTTTTGCTAATTATTTAGATGATACTATAGACGTAAATAATTATGAACACTTGCTTTTTGATCCAAGAACAACACACTTGAATAAGGAATACAATGAATTGACTGAACAAGACATTGTGAACCAATCTATTATGCAATCATGCAAATACTTATACCCAGAATCATTAAATTCGAAACTTCAATCACAACATAATGTATCAATGAATTTTGGTTGCATTAATGCAAGAAGCCTATCACATAATTTTTCAAAAGTTGTTAATTTAAATGAGATACTGAATAATCAAATTGACATCCTTGGAATTACAGAAACATGGCTCAAAGAAAATGATGAACAAAATTTTTTAATGAATGGCTTTTATTCTGAATTTGTTTCAAGACAGGATCGGATCGGTGGAGGGGTAGGTATATTTATTCGCGATAGCATTAAGTACAAGCTGAGACCAGATCTTATAATTGAAAATGACTATAATACCCAAGCACTTACAGTTGAAATTGAGCAGTCAAATGACAAAAACATATTAGTTTCAGTTATCTATAAACCCCCTGATGTTGATATTAGCCAATTTAATAAAGATCTTACACAATTTCTGAATATAATGACCAAGGAAAATAAAGAAATATTCTTGATGGGAGACTTTAATATAAATATACTTAACACTGATCATGAAGAAACTGCTAACTTTGTGAATATATTATACTCTTTTAACTTATATCCAACCATTTTCAAACCAACACGAGTTACTACACAAACTGCTTCCTTGATAGATAATATTTTTACCAACTCTCTTAAGGCCAGTCAATCCGGTATAATTTTAACTGATATATCTGACCACTTTCCTATATATGTAACGACTGACTTACCTATTAATAAGAAAGTGAGTAAACGCATTTCTTTTCGCCAAATGAAAAACAAAAATCATATTACCTTTAAATCACGCCTTTCTGAACTTAACTTTTCCCAGCTATATGAATTTGATGATGTTAATTTAGGCTATGCATATTTTATTGAAAAAATTCAAAGTCTCTATAATGAATGCTTCCCGGTAACTACTAAATATATTAAATATTACTACAACAATAAAAAACCTTGGCTGACAGAAGGAATTTTGACCTCTATAAAATTTAAAAATAAACTTTATATTAACTATTTAAAGCACTCTACACAAGATAAGCTTGAATCTTACAAAAAGTATAAACGCATTCTAAGGCAAACTATTCGACATGCAGAAAAACTTCATTATAGATATAAATTTGAACAATCATCTGGTAATATAAAAGACACCTGGACACACATTAATGAAATATTAAACAGAGGAAAGAAATTGCAAATATCACCTGATAAATTTATACACAATAATAAAACATTTACTAATCCCAAAGAAATAGCTAATGGTTTTAATGATTATTTTGTCAATGTTGGAAATAATTTGGCAAAAAACATACCTAATTCTCATAAAACATTTCAACATTATTTGAAGAAAATGTCTAATTCTTTAAGCCAAAGTTTATATCTACGACATGTCACTTTTGACGAAATAAAATCAATTTTAGATGATTTGAAAGATAAATCTGCTGGTAATGATGATATAAAGCCTATAGTTATCAAAAATAGTAGTGCCATCCTTGCAAAACCTCTTGTATTCCTAACTCAACTATCTTTTAAAACTTGCATCTTTCCAGATGATTTGAAAGTTGCCAAGGTAATTTCATTATATAAAAAAGGTACAAAACAATTCTTCAGCAACTATAGACCTATTTCTTTAGTATCTGTTTTTTCAAAAATAATTGAAAAAGTAATGGCTCATAGACTTACAGATTTTTTTGAAAAATTCAAACTTTTGTGTCGTAATCAATTTGGCTTTAGAAAAAATAGATCCACTTACTTGGCTATACTTTCTTTTTTAGAAAATTTGCGTAAAGCATTAGATGATAAACAGTTCTCTATTGGCATATTCTTGGACCTCAGTAAAGCATTTGATACTGTTAATCATGACATTTTATTATCTAAACTCAATTTTTATGGTATTAGAGGAAAAGCTAATGATTGGTTTAGAAGTTATCTAAATAATCGAAAACAATTTACTGTATATGGTGATAATAATGTTAAATCTCAGGAACAATCAATCACATGTGGAGTTCCACAAGGCACTACCTTAGGTCCTATTTTGTTTATTATATATATCAATGACATTATATGTTCAAGTTCTTTGTTAAAATATGTAGTTTTTGCAGATGATACAAACATCTTGTATTCTGATAAGAACATAAATAATCTGATAACTAAATTAAATTGTGAACTGTATAAAATTGATGATTGGTTTTGTGCTAATAAGCTATCTCTTAACGTACAGAAGACAAAATTTATGATATATACAACCTGCAAACATAAAGTTCCACAAAATATTGAGATCAAAATAAGAAATAATTTAGTAGAGAGAGTACAATCATTCAACTTCTTAGGGATAATTATTGATGAGGATTTAAACTGGAAGGAACATATAAAAAAAATATCGCTTAAAATATCAAAAATCATCGGGATACTATTTAAAAGTAGACATAAACTAAATACAAAAACACTTCTATCAATTTACTATTCACTTATATATTCTCAAATTCAATACTGTATATGTGCTTGGGGAAATGCAGGCAAAACTGCAACGAATTCAATATTTCAACTACAAAAACGTTTTTTAAGAATTATTACTTACAGCGGAAATAGAGAACATACCAGGCCATTCTTTAAACAATTCAAAATTCTAAAATTTACTGACATATATGACCTTAATATTCTGCAACTAACTTACAAATGTATTAACAGACCCGATTCTTTTCCAAGTGACATTTTTATTGACTTCTTTGGAAAAAACAATAGTGTTCATGAACACAACACTAGACAGAATGAACAAGTTCATGTAACAAAATGTTATCATGTTTTAAGGAAATAAATAAAAAAAAAAAAAAAATCAAAGTCCATAAAATATATAGACAATGACTCATTCTGAGCAATGGTCATTTTTTAATTCAGGAAGAATGAAATTCATGATATAATCATGAGAGAGGAAGTAGGTATTTTGGTTCATAAAGTTTTATGTGTTCATCCAGGTATTCTGAGATACAAATTGTACATTTAGCTGTCCGATGCAGTTTCATCAATGATGTGAGTGCTATATTATCTTAATACAATTGTAAATTGAGAATATACGGCTTACAGTATGTGGTAGTAGAGTCAAACCCACAAAAACTAGATAGTATTACAAAACTAAAATGCGAAACATCAAATCAAGTTTATGACAAATGTAACCATGGACTTGTGAAAATATTTGTTCATATAGCAAAAAGAATGTTTTCTTACAGAATACGTTTGCGGCTGTTTCTCCAGTATGAACACATCTTGCTAAGCTCCAGAGCCCTGAATGCCTCTCCTCCTGCCACGGTTGACAGTGTACCATCTTCCAGCTTTGCTAAAAAGTCTTTTGCTAGGGGATTGCCAACATTGTTATTGTCTCCATCCTGTAATCAAAAATCCACATGTTAAAAGTACACTAACAGCACCATATCTTATCTTGAAACAAATAAACTTATGTTAAGCAAGATAAACTAGGAAATGGCAACTCCATGGAGCAGCAAATCCCAAAGAACAAAACATTTAGGATATGTATGTGTCACAATAAAATATTTATAATACACACTCTACCCTTGTTTTGTTGATAATAAAAGTGACATTGGAAAGACATACATAAGATTCGTCACTGTATCCCTACTGAACTATATCCTAGTTGAGATAGTTAGGTTTCAGTCATATTGGATACACAACATATGTTTTCCACAGGCTGAAAGCAAGAAATGTAATTTAACACATGAAAGTGAACATAAACACTTACCTTATGTGGCAGTTTGAAGAAGTGAACCCCAGGGATAACTTGTGTGTATGGTCCTATTCCCTTATGGTATGTGGGTACACTAAGGTTGGCATCTGTCTTCTTTATCTTATCTTTCTAATGGATGAAAAATAGCAACATTAAAATATAATAAATCATCTCTTGTTGATATACATGTATCACTATTATGCAACCTTGTAAATCATTATTTCAATCATAATTTGACTTACTGTACATTCATTTCCAAATACCACATCATTCCAAGAATAATAGAATAATAATTTCTTGAATAATGTAACAAGGCATTAAAGTGTCTCACATATTCGATCAAAATTTGCCATGCAAACATGTTAGTCTACTTTACTGGCCCCCTTGCTGTAACAAGGAATACAAAACACATTAAAACGTAAACATAAACCAATTAGTCAGACGATCACTTCACTATGAAAGTTAGGGGTGTTCAAGGCAAATGTGTATTAGCAGAATACGCTGTGTGCATGGACTAACACAATGTCAGTCGTCATTTACTGTGTCAAATTAGTAACCCTTGCATATCGTGCTCACTCAAGTATTGAATAATTTTTTTTATGATCTAAATGTTTGTGGTTTATAAAAAAATGTGATATATTTTAGTTGGAAATACATTAATAAATATATTCATTCAAACAGCACTAGAATGCGGGAAGAAAGAGCAATGGTGACAAAATGCAGACCGAATTTTCCGTAAGGGTTTCAAACATTTCTGGACACAATCATACATGTACTTCATGTGTACTGTTATTTTTAGTGCTGTATTTATAGATATAATTTCACGTATTAAAATCATATTTTCCAGCAATGACTTCAAATTCGGAACCACCCCCATATCACATTTTCTTCAATAACTCCAAACATGTGTAAACATTGACCATGTGCATATAAATTCAGATTTCACGAGCTCTTTCCTATTCGAGTACCTCATACACCCCTGCATGGATTTGAGTTGGATTCGCCTTTTATACGTGAGCCGGTACACATCGCAAACGCTGATTGGATAAAGATTGCGAGAATCTTTAAGATGCAATATGACATCACCTGCCATTGGTACATTTGACTGACCACCGAACATCATTCACAGAAAAGTTGGAGACAATAACAATATGTTATCAGTTCTGGCAAATATATAATAAAAACTAAGAGTACCTTTGGTTTTTTCTTGTTTTGCCAGTAAATCCTCATACATTTATTTACATCATCCATGTGAATGTCTTCATTTAACAAGAGCCTAGGGTCTGGGCCTGCGGGAGGAAAGGACTCTTTCTCTGGCATTAGGCTGTCACACATTGCCTTCAGTGCCCTAAATGAGACAAAGCATTGCACTTAACAGGTATAATAATGGCCAACACATCACTGTCCTTGTTCAAATTATATGCTATATATTGAAAAGTTGTGATTAACAGTGCATATGAAAAAAAACTAGTTCCCCAATCTTTTATAAGCATGATTTTTTTTATCTGATGATAGATAAATATACTCCATACTCAATTGGAAATTTTGGGCCAGCGTCAGACTCGTCAATCAGTACATTGAATTCTTGTTCCTGGTGGTCCTCAGGAGTTCCATACTCTCCTAGGGGTGGTGCGGGAACCAAGTACCCCCAGCCTAGATCGTCATCATAGTGCAAAGGGAATCCCTCCCACGTGAGCTGCAGGAGTTTAGGAGTGATCCGTGTCTGGGTACTGATCTTGGTGGGGCCTGGGGACCAATCATCATCCTTTAGGCGCGGGCACAGATCTGCATACCAACTGGAAGGTGAGCAGGAGCACTCTTAGCTCTTTTGTAAGCATTGAGGCAGCTGGCTTTAGAAGAAATCTAAGAGCCCATCATGACTGGGAGCTTTGAGAAAGTTGTTAATTCATGAGGTTTAATCAATAAACTGACATGTACTTACATTGGGAAGTTTGGCTTGTGGGAAATATTCTTTGGAAGTCTACTTGCTGTCTCAAGTACCCTTTTTACCCTTTCTTCTTCGCTGTCTCCAGCTTCTTCTAACTTCTTAAGCTCCTCTCGTTGACGTTTTGCACTCAGTTTGGGTTTAATCTTCATCTTGGCACGCTTTACAGACCAATCAGCATCCCACATCCAGACATCTTCTTTGTACCTACATTGGATTGTACATCCAAACATCATTTTGTACATCAGAAATCATTATACCTGTAGATCACATTTGAACATTTTCTTTGTACCTAAAATACATTGTCTGCTGTATATACTAACATCTATGTACCTGAAATATATTGTATGTTGTACATATCAATATTTTTTTACACAAATATCAGAATTCTAATGCAAATACATACAATGTAAAATCAATCAAATAATGATATTTGACAAAGACAGTTAACAATCAATCAATAGCACTGATAAAACTATAGTCTTGCTCAAAGACTGTATCCACCCCCCCCCCCGTCACCTTCACTCTCTTTACCCATCAATATACAGTCTTGTAACCACTGATTTTATGCAGGTGCTGCCACCTTCCTAAAAGGATCCGGAAATCATGAATTATTAGCCGCTCTACCACCTGATAGAGCCCATGGTTTTAGTTAGTAATACTTTTTATTTTATGCTTTTAAACTTTTGTTAAGAGAAGGATTTAAGTTTAGAAAAGTATTTCTATACACAACAAGATAAAATCATGGAAATATAAGTGCAAGTATGGGGAACTATTTTCTTGGCAGTGAAGAGGCCATGTGCTGCTCTAAGAACAACAAAGAATCTGATTGGCTGATCAAAAGGTGTTAAGAGATAACCATCTAGCATGAATAATTCATATCAGTGTCAACTTACTGGTGGTTACAAGACCCTAGAGAGAAGGATAAAGGGGGGGGGGGAGTACAGAGTCTTTTAAGCAAGACTAATAAAACTATAGCCTTAAATGATATTTTATTGGGATAGAATTTTAAGATTAATTTTAGCTACCGTACCCATGCAGTACTGAGGCAGAAACATCGTAATTTTCTAATATAATAACATTGGTATATGAGATTAAAAAGCAAAGTGTGTCTATTTGAGAGTGTTGATGAGGTTGGCTCTTGAAAAGAGTAAAAGTACTGACTGTTCATCTTCTATCATTAGACACGCATCATCAGCAATCTTCATAAGCATCAGTCTAAGCTGTCTCTGTAGGTCAACATAGGTGGCCTCACTCTCTGTGGTGTATTTCTGCCAGCTGTAGTTCAGGGGGAGGTACGCTGATCCCATCTCTAGCATACCTGCCAGGGTGACTGGGTGGGGAAACCTCTCTCTGAAATCTGGCCATAATCCCTTGAACACCTGGCAATAGATTATCAGGTTATTTTTGAGGTATCTCAACATACATGTTAATTACTATAAAATTGAAATAAATATAGTAAATAATGAATAACAAATGAAACCATACATCTCATAAAATAGATGGGATGTATTTTATAAAAATAATTAATTTATAGAACCTTATACGTAGCATGGGTATCTGAGGCACAATAGTTCATAAGCATCTGAAAGTTGTCTCTGATATCTTTCATGTTGCCTGTGACAAATATGTTGCGTGTTTCTTTGTCAAGGGCTCCTTCTTTACAGTGTAAGGCATATACATCACTCAGGTTGTTCATTGAACCTTCTAAAAGCCATTGAGCATCCTGTAATACATTCAAATAAACTTGAAGTTCTATCAAGGAAAAACTAGCATATTTCATGGGGAAAAATATGTTTGTATATTCAACGACAAAAATTCTATTCCGTGGATCGTTTCATCCACAGATAGAATCAAATTTACAGGGTGAGCCAAAAAGGTAGCCCAAACAAATGTTAATACCCCAGTCATTCAGCATGGGTTTTAGGTCATATGTGGCACAATTAAACCTTGTTCGACAGTTCCTTTCTTCTACCAAGTTTCATTGGTCTATTCCAAAACCATTTGCCATTCTACAAAATATGGCCAAAATAAGCATTGAACATGGTTCAATTGTGCCAAATTTGAATTCAAACCCATTCTGGATGACTGAGTTATTAACATTTGTTTGGGTTACCTTTTTTGGCTCGACCTGTACTTCAAATATGTATTTCACTCCACATACACAAAATTTCAATATAATTCATGCAATCCATGAGACTTAATGTAAGCAATATAATGGCATACGTAAACATTGTTACTTTTATGGTATAAATGTAGTTACACCCCAGGAGTTACATACCTTTATGCTTTTATTCCTTAGCTCAGCTGCCTTCACTTCTTTACGTTGACTCTCCTTAGCAATCCCTGCCTTGAGTATGCGCTGTAAACTGGTGAAGCCAGACACAGCTATATGCAGAGACATTGTGTCCAGAAATCTTGTCTTAGGACCCTGCAATACATGCATGTGTGTAAGAATAGCAGTCAAAGTATTATCTGTCTAGGAGTATACCATACTTACCAATATTACTGTACCTACAGTTCAACTAAAGTAAGTTACTAGTCACTTGAATAACATAGAGTAAATAAATACATACATGTTTCCATTCATCTATTAAATCAGCACAAAACAGATCCAGACTATAGTTTAAGACTTATCTCAGGTTATCCTATGTTATCACATGTACCTACCTTGATGAAGTACTGCTCCTTAACAAACGACCTATCATAGCCAACATTATGACCAATCACAAGGCGGCTCTTCCATTCACCACTAGGTGGCACAGTCTGGTTGTTTGCTGTTTCTAATGGAATCAGGTCAGAGAGACTGGTATCTTTAACCCATCTATACCTCTCGGAAACTAGTCTTTCACTACACCATGAATACCTAGAGTAAAGTTAGCACAAATCTGTTCCATAAATTTGAACATAAAGTAAAAATTTATATATATCAGTCATCTCATTTCAGAGTTGTCCAAAATATCATTAGTAACAGTAATCTGCAAGGTGGATGATTATCTGATATGATCTGCAGTACTGCAGCCCTGCTGTTTTCCTGAAGAAGTACTTCAGTGATCTCCCCGGCATTAAAGCAAGTGGGCGCAGCACCCACCTGATATTTAAAAAAATGCTTGAACCCATTTGAAAATTCATTTGCACCCACTTGAAAATGAGAAAAATCATGAAAGATGGGCATATTTTGACCAAGTTTGGTCTGAATGGAGAACACTGTACATGTACTTACCAATGGTTTGGAGTTAAAGCTGTGGCCATAGTTGGAAAGTTACCCTCAGGGACAAGAACCTCTACATCAAACACCATAATCTCTTCATCTGGATGAGGTACTAGACTCATACTACCATCTTTGTTGTATCTACAATCAATAGATCATCAAATATTGCTATAAGCTTGACTTGAGAATTAATCATCAAGTAAAGTTATTTTTACTTTGATCTGGTACACAAGTGCTATACACTATAGTACATATTCGTACACTATTTGGTTTGCTTTTTAATTGCTCCTTCTGAAATTTTAATTATGTTGAAACAAATGAAGAGCCTTAAGTCTCATACTTAAAGGACATCTACATGTAATTTGAGGTCAGTTTTTCCGTACCTTGTCCAGCCTGGCTTGAAGTTCCACTTCTGTGGTTTCTCTGGAATAGCCTGGGCAATAAAATCTCCTGCTCTTGACATGAATTCTTCAGTCTGCTCAAAACCAATCTTGTAAAAATGTTCTGATATATCTTTCCCTTGAAGCCGAGGTAGTTTGACGTCAACATCATCATTGATTGTTGTTTCCTTGCCCCACAATTCAAATTTACTCAAATGAGAAATGATGTCATCAGCAGAAATCACATTATGTTCCGAATCTGGTTTTGTTTTGAATACTTGTTCATATAAACTTTGAGAAAGCATTTGGATGTTTACAGAATTTTTCCGTACTTCATCCTGCTTATTTGAAACCAAGTTTGATTTCAAACGATTTTGAGATAAAATTAGCGACGATCTGCGTTGCTTCGTCAGTTCATGTGGTGAATTAGACATGACATGCTGCATTCGTCTCGGTACATGTGTTGCATTACAGTCACTTAGTGCCGATTTTGTCTTGTGCACCTTTGTACAGAATGTACAGAGCCTTGAGTACAGTTGTCTCATTGTGTATTTGTAGGTAAAGGGTAATGTCAAACAGTTAACTCAATTGCCTTTTTAACTGCTCATAAGCAAGGTTAATATTTGCTGTATGTACATGTACGACTTCCAGACTCCTGATGTGCGGAAGAGCAACGAAGTGACGAGACTGGCACACCTTACAATTATGATACATGCACTTGGACTTTTTGGGTTACTTGTCTTCTCTGGTTCAGACAAGCAGGGCGTGTGAAGAACAAACAATATCACGTTAGAGAACTGATGTACAGTTTACAGATATGTTTATTGACTGAAGCCAGGCTGGCTTCAAAAATTTCAATTTCAATAATTTATCCTTTTGCATAGCTGCATTCATGGGCGTAGCCAGGGGGGGTGCGATGGGTGCGATCGCACCCCCCCCCCCCCCTTACCCCAATAAATGTGAGGTTATTTTGACGTTTTTTATTATTTTTGAATTTTTTTTCTCAAAATAACCTCACAAAGTTTACTATATTGATTCTTTGGGGAATTGTTTACATGATTTGAAGATTCAAGTCCGAACAATATCAGCAGTTTCCTTACCTTTTTTCTTCTCTTCTGTAAAGATGATTCTTTTTCCAATGTAATGAGCGATCTATCAGTCGAAACGATGCTTTATAACGGGAGTAATTTGCAAAATTGGAAGGAAAGTACAAAATTGAAAATGTTTGAGAAATTTCTGTTATCCGTACTAGATCGTCATTACAAGAATTAATATATTATTTCGAGGGCTATCTTTTATAGCAAGTTGATGATTAATGTCTTGTCGATACGAAAATAATAAAAAAGTTTATAAAATTTGATTATTTTAGTACAAATTTAGCATGTCTTCTACCATGTGCGTTCAAGAAAAAATCCCCAAAGAATCAACATAGTAAGCTTTGTGAGGTTATTTTGAGAAAAAAAAATCAAAAATAATAAAAAAAAACTCAAAATAACCTCACATTTATGGGGGTACCCCCCCTATAACCTTTGAAAATATGACCATTGGAAAGAGGTAGAAAATAGCTTTAAAATGCTTTTTATTTGAAGCTTCTAGCTCAATTTTGAAGGAAGTTGCATCAATTTTTGTAAAATTCAAAAGAAATCTTAATTTTTTGTGTTGCTTATGGCAAAATCGCACCCCCCTGACCGAAAACTGAAAAATTTTCTGCGATCGCACCCCCCCTGACTGAAAGCTGGCTACGCCCCTGGGGTCCGTTTTTGAAACCATCGTAACTTACGATTTGGTCGCAAGTCATTGTTCATCAAAACAGAGACAAATGGTTTTCTCGGAATCGTAAGTTACGATCCTACGAAAAACGAACCCCTGTGCATTTGTATCAAACTGAAAAGTGATGAATCCTACACTTGCAAATTTACAACAATTGAACAATTTATATGTCACTTTAGTGAATGATTCTCACTATCCTCGAATCTGACTCCCGGAATTTGACTGAACCTACTCATTTGATAGCCATGTGTGAAACCGAAAGTGGAAAAGGGGCGTGGCTATTTGGTGTCTCAAACTACAAACTGTCTGTAGAATGTTCCCAAATCTGTTTAAAATTACTCATACTAATTAGCCAACTGTGGACTATGTATTCGAAATTTTCTTTGGATAATAAAAGAAACCAAGTACCTGAATAATATTTATTGATGAAGACATTGCAGTTTGAGCTATCTGAAACTGCGGTTCTCATATTATTCAAAGTAAAAGTCTGCTACACTTTACTATTTCCAAAATGGCTGAAGAAAATTCTGGATCAAAAATCACTATTTTTGTGAAAACTCCCAAGGAAAAGCAAACTATTGAAATTGATAGCAGTGCAACTGTAGAAGCGGTAAGTACTAGTATGTGTGCGAAGTTTGATTTCTCTGACAAAATGATAAAGGCTAGTAATTTGTAATTGAAATCTCGTAATTTTTTGCGACCGGCCTAGAGTCCATTTCACTGCTGAACTGCGTCAGTAAAACCTAAAAAATAAGAAATCACAATAGCATCATGCAATAATATATGGAAAAATATGTTCCTATTGTACATGAATGACATTTGTATATCTTGGATTGCTTCTAGTTTGGCTTATAAAGTGTGTGGCCTCTCATATATGGATACTTCTCTGCCATGTTATTTTCAATAAGATTAACATGGCTGAAATTCTTCAAATTACAAGAGGGCACAGACTTATTGCACAAAAAACTAGAAAATCTGAAATATACAAATGTCATTCATGTACAATATGAATCTACTTTTCGATATATTATTGCAAAATGGTCTCCCGTTTTCTTATTTTTGGGGTTCTACTGACGCAATAAAACAGTGAAATGGACTCTACGAACAGACATTTTACAGCGTCATCACTAAACAATATATATGGTCTATATCTTAGTTATTCGTCTCATTTTTACTGTAATCTAATAACAAGCAATTCAAAAGGAATCCTTTGCAAAGTCTTACTTACTACAGAGAATAGAGACCACAGTTCTATCCTCACACGCAAGGTTGGTTTTTTAGATGGGGGCCCCCGCATTGTACCGAAACCCATAATGCCGACGCGCATTGTACCGAAACCCATTATACAGACACGCATTGTACCGAAGCACATTGTACCGACGTGCATTATACTGAACAGTTCCAACGAACAAGAATTAGATCGAAAGTTGTTTACTACTTTTTTCAAGGCCTGACTGCGTCGCTAACATGCTAAATATAAGAGTTAGCTGACGTTTGGGAGTCTGACTTACCTTCTAAAGGTTAGAACCCGAATCTTAATGAAACCATATCACCTTTGTTGCGTCGATGATGATGCATAAACATAGCATTTGATAGAAATTAGCGTAAATGCTTTTCCGACTTTTTCATTTTTCATCAATGTTGACTTCCGGGAAGGCGTTGTAGTTATCACGAAATAACGCATTGACCCTTGAACTTTACTTTGTTGACGTGTCAACCAAGCATGTCTGGTGTGAAAATTAAAAGAATATTAAGCAATGTTCTACATCCGCCAAGCTAAGTGTAGTAGTCAATATTTAAAATTACTAATTTCATGTGAAGTACGCAATGAACGAAACTGCGTGATCTACACTCCCACTATTGGTCTGAATGAAATGCTACGTAGAAATATGAGCCGTCTGCTGTATTAGCCGATTAATAGAGTAAGACCTGTTGGTGATGCTTTATAATTTAGACCAAAACATTGAAGAACAAACGAACCTGTAAATCGTGAAAACAACGAACAAATATTCGGTTTTCACATATGTTCGGTAATTTTTCGTATTGAAACTTCCGGAACTTACAAGGAAATCATTCATTTTCTCGATCCATGATTTACCTCTTGGATGTTGTGGCAAATGCTCCATGGTTGACGGAACAAAGGTGATATGGTTTCATTAAGATTCGGCTTCTAACCTTTAGAAGGTAAGTCAGACTCCCAAACGTCAGCTAACTCTTATATTTAGCATGTTAGCGACGCAGTCGGGCCTTGAAAAAAGTAGTAGTCACTGGAAACATGTTTGTATGTTGATAGTACATTCGTACGTTTGTTCAATTTTCCTCAGTACAGTTTTCCATTCGTTTAGTATGTTTGTTCATACGTACTGTTCGTAAGGTCGTTTTGGCGTTGCTACGTCAATACCTTAATATACCTCTTAGTTATTCCTTCCGTCCGTAGCCTATGTAGAGTCCATTTCACTGCTTCATTTCGTCAGTAGAACGGCAAAAATAAGAAATTGGGAGACCATTGTGCAATAATATATGGAAAAGTATATTCATAATGTACATGAATGACATTTGTATATTTCAGATTTTTTAGTTTTTTGTGCAATAAGGTTTTGCCGTCTTGTAATTTGAAGAATTTCAGCCATGTTAATCTTATTGAAAATAACATGGCAGAGAAACATCCAAATATAAGAGGCCACATACTTTATAAGCCAAACTAGAAGCAATCCAAGATATACAAATGTCATTCATGTACATTATGAATATACTTTTCCATATATTATTGCACAATGGTCTCCCAATTTCTTATATTTGCCGTTCTACTGACGAAATGAAGCAGTGAAATGGACTCTAGGTACTTTCATAAAAACAGTATGTACGTTCTTCCTTCGTTCGACATTTTGTACATTGTTAAATTCGAACATTCGTTGGTTCGTATGTTTATCCTTTCAATTGAACGTTTATTAAAAATTCTAGCTATGTAAAGTCGTTGGCACGTTGTTATGGGGTGTCACTACAGGGAGTTTTCAGAGAAGGTCTTTGATGAGCGTTGATTTAAATATGATATCACTTTTATGACATTTTTAAATGATGAAAATCAAGATGATACTTTCATCTCATCTATTGAAATGAAATATCCCATAAATTCCCATAACCATATATCCATACACATGACTCACATTTTCTATTTTCTTTGTCCCTTTCAATTAACACACTAATTATTATTATTAAGTGTCATTGTATGATCATTATTTTATTCCATAAAAACTATGTTTGAATATATATTCATTCACTCGACTCCCATCCGTACTGTGAATTCCGGAGCGTGCAAAGATGATGTAAACAAGTGAAAACTGAAATCTGTGAGGGCGTTGGGGGCGATCGCTCCCCCCCTCCCCTTTCCCAGATTTTTTTAGATATCAAACCAAGCCTAGAATTGAAAGCTCCAGAGCTAATTAAAGTCAATGTGTAATAGACTACATCAAGCAGATTTCTCAGAAAATTTCTCAGGAACCCATACAGTATGTAAATACTCTGAAGAATAAATGCAAACTGTATACTTAAGTTAAGTTTTCTAAAAACACATTTTTTCTAATTTTTATTATTGGGAATATTGTGCTGAGATATGTTCAGAATGAACCAGACTGGGTCTAATTTTGAAAGTTTTTTGGGGCACGCCCTCCGACCCCCTAGATTGCGATTCGCGTGTGATGCGCTTCAAGCATGACCCATCCATACCTAAAAGTTGACCCCCTGCCTTGGCAAATTTTTTTGACACCCCTGCAAGATATTGCCATCTTTCATTCTAAAAAGTCACAAATGGGTTTCGATATCGTGCGCTTCGGTATAATGAGGTGATCCCGGTTAGATGCAACGAACTTCAAAGTAAGGGGTTACTGCATCATGGGGCTACTTCGACCATTGGGTTATTTTCACCATTGTCAATAATGCATACGTAAGCAGTTGGCAATCTTGGATTAGATCTTGCCCCGGGGCCCGGGATCTCGTCCATTGGAGATATCATTCTATTTTTAGATTTTCAAGGCACACTGCGTGAATCAAAAATGTAGGCCAATGTCAAAATAGACCAGTGGTCAAAATAGCTCCATGTCAAAGTAATCCCTTACATCGAAGTTGACGCAAGTCCCCTACAGTAAAATTTTAAATGTTTGGAACTACTTTGAATTTAAAAAGCAATCAAATGACTTTGCAACAGTATACAAAAAATAGAAACATATGTATTATGTACTTGTCCTAACTTTTGAATATTTCATATAGTTATGTATAATGTGCAGCAAAGCTGTGGCCTTTTTGTAATTTATAGAGTTTCAGCCATGTTAAAGCCATGTTAAAATTGCAGATGTATATACCTCAATCTTTAAATAGGCCATTATTTCAAAATGTTCACCTGCAGTGAGTCAGTGATTATTTCCACGTATATTATGAGCATTACCGAATTGAGACTACATCTTCAGTATCTGAGTACACTACAAGCATCATCGAAGTGAGATTACATCTCCGCATGTAGGTAGTGCTCTTAAGGTGATCGGAAATAATTCCCCAAGTGTCTCGCATCATTGTATGTTTAAATCACAAAGATTTAGAAAAGTCAAACATGTATTATAATATTATTTTTCTTTTTTACAGTTTAGGGAGGAAGTAGCCAAGAAGTTTAATGCCCTAAAGGAGACATTATGTCTCATATTTGCTGGGAAAATCTTGAAAGATCCTGAGACCCTCACTCAGCACTCTATCAAAGATGGCCTAACAGTTCATTTAGTAATCAAATCACAAAATAAGGTATGTTTCCTTACATTTTAGAAGTTTAATTAGGAAAGCAAGAATTTTATATATTAGAGTAGTAGAAGATTTATAGATTTCTGTAGATGACTATATTGATTAGTCCATATTGAAAGGCCAACAATGTGTATTGAGGAACAAAATGTTTTTGGTTTTCCTGCACTATTAATAACTAGATGAGTAGTTTTTTTATCGTACCTAACAAGAGGTACGATATTGGATTTTCTGTCCTAAAATCTTCACTTTCAAGACTTGTCTACAGATTTTCAGCCAAACCATTTGAGGGATTCATCTGAAATTTTCAGGGATGTTTCTACATATCAACGTCAAGATCTGATTTGTTTTTGGGCATTCTGGGTAAATTTTAAGGTGGCCATTTTAGATTTTCCGTCCTAAAATCTTCACTTTCAAGACTTGTCTACAGGTTTCCAGCCATTAACCATTTGAGGGATTCATCTGAAATTTTCAGGGATGTTTCTACATATCAACGTCAAGAACTGATTAGTTTTTGGGCATTCTGCCTTCTGGTTAAATTTTAAGGTGGCCATTTTGGATTTTCTGTCCTAAAATCTTCACTTTCAAGACTTGTCTACAGATTTTCAGCCAAACCATTTGAGGGATTCATCTGAAATTTTCAGGGATGTTTCTACATATCAACGTCAAGAACTGATTGGTTTTTTGGTTATCTGGGTAAATTTTAAGGTGGCCATTTTGGATTTTCCGTCCTAAAATCGTCACTTTCAAGACTTGTCTACAGGTTTCCAGCCAAACCATTTGAGGGATTCATCTGAAATTTTCAGGGATGTTTCTACATATCAACGTCAAGAACTGATTAGTTTTTGGGCATTCTGGGTAAATGTTAAGGCTGTCATTTTAGATTTTCCATCCTAAAATCTTGTCTATCGAGGCTTGTCTACAGGTTTCCAGCCAAACCGTTCAAATTTTTACATATGTTACACAGTGATAAGTTCTAGAGCTGATTAACTTTTCTGCGGCCATCTTGCTTTCTTGGTCAACAAGACCACAATGCTGTGATTTAGGTACGATATTGTTCACGTCTGTGCCTTGTTATATTACTTTATTAGAATTGATGGCATATTTTGCTGACCTCTAGCAGAGGGGTTTAACAGTGAAAATGCCTCACATGATATAGTCAGAACAACTTATGTTATCACCATCTTGTGTTGGAAGTGATTATTTTGTAAATGTAAGCTGTGCTGTGGCTCATTTGAGGTGTTTTTGTGGCAAACAAGACTTTGAGTATGGAACAATCCATTCAATATTCTTGAATGATGAAAAGAAAATTTTGATTTGGAAAGTACACATTGTCCTTGAAATATTCATTTGTATTAAAAAGAAAGCACCCAATTTTATCATGTCTCTTAATGTGATATTTCAGTCCCAGGAACAGGCAGCCAGAGTTACTCAGCAGGTAAGATGCAAATAAACTAAATGTAGCTAGAAATAAAAAATAAAATAAATAAAAATATCTAGAAGTATTATTCCAGCGACGGTCCCTCTGATGTCCCAACTGACTAGGGATAGCCACAAGACTTGTTGAAGCAATATTAAACAATTGGCACATAATTAAATTCTGACTTCTGACTCGGAAGGAAAGTTAAAGCTATAAAGATGGGTTCTGAGCTTTATTATACCATTGTAAAAGTGTTATAGTAAAACTGGTGTCAGTAGACACACCTATGGAGACATAAAAATGTGTTCACTACAGTGAGAGGCAATTTTGTACAAAGGGGAGAATGTGCTGTGAAGGGGTGTTCACTAAAACAGGTTTTACTGTATATTTTGTGTATAAAACATATTATTATACAAACATGTTGTTCTTTCATTGTTCAGGCACCAACAAACAGGGCTAACCAAGGCAATGATATACCAGCCACCCCCTTTGGCCTGGGTAATTTAGGAGGTTTAGCAGGCATGGAAGGTTTAGGTATGGGCGGATCTAACTTCATGGAAATGCAACAGCGAATGCAGCAAGAGGTAAGAGATTCTGTCTCAATTTTGACATTGAATGTGAAAAAACCACTGTACTCCACACAAATGCAGTTTGAAAATATCAGCATCCTTTACTTATAGTATACTTCAACCAAATAAGCTTTGTTTGTCTTCAGCTGTTGTCCTTTGGATGCTGTTTGGATTGGCATCTCTCAGGGCTTAACTCTCCATGTTGTATAGCCTTTTTTTTAATGATAGTGTACTGCATTAATTCAGATAAAAGTTACTTTATGAACGCATTCAAGACTTTAAGAACACATTTGACATTCAGATGTTATTAGTAACTAGCTTACACTTCAATAAATGAACAGATGACAGTTGATATGATGGAGGTACATCTGATGGAAAATTGTGTGACTCCTATGATATTATGTATATTGTATATGTTAATGTAACTGCTTTCAAATGTTTTTTTCAATGAATAAAAAAAGGAATAAAAAATAAAAATAAATAAAAAATATAACCATGAAATTAATTTTCATATCTAGTTGAAATTTATCCCTGAGATTAGTGTGCATTTCTAGGTGATATGTATCCTAAGGTTTATAATGCACATTTCTTGATGATGTAATGAATAACCATGATGTAAATGTACATTTCTAGTTGATGAGTAATCCTGAGACATTAAGGAACATGATGGACAGTCCTATGGTGCAATCTATGATGTCAAACCCTGATATCATGCGTAACCTCATAACTGCGAACCCCCAGATGAGGGAACTTATGGAGGTAGGATACAAAAGTGTATTTTTTCTAACTACAAAAACCTTGTCTAAGATGGAAAAGATGTAATTTGATCGTTGTAAAGAATTGGCAACTTGGATAAAATTGTAGTTAAGGCAGCATATCTGGTGAATTGCTTTGTGATGATTGTTAGACTCCAGATGAAAATCTGGAGTCTATTGCTTTTGCCAGTTTTCTTTATTAGACTCCAGATTGAAAATCTGGAGTCTATTGCTTTTGCCAGTTTTCTTTATTATTAGACTCCAGATGAAAATCTGGAGTCTATTGCTTTCGTCAGTTTTCTTTATTATTATTATTATTAGACTCCAGATGTAAATCTGGAGTCTATTGTTTTCGTCAGTATTCTTCTTCTTCTTATTATTATTCTTTATTATTTTTCTTTCCCAGTTTTCTCAATAACCATAAAGTTTCCAATAAAGATCATTATTCAGTCAATTTATGTCCAGTATCTAGTTCCTCGGAAATTGGGTCAAAATTTTATCTAGGTCAAAGGTCAAGAACTAGGTCAAATCTTACATTTTCAACATTCTGTCATTTATCTTCGTCGTTGTTTATCGTAACTCCTAAATCTTTTTTTCATCATGTAGCTTAGAAAAAGCCAAAGCAAAGATATGGCACTAGATTTTTGATTACGCTTACCGATTTTGAAATATGGTGTCCAGAAAGTAGGTCAAAATAACGAGTTCTCCAAATTTAACATTTGAGTTATGAATTAAGGGTAAAATTTACTCAGGAATCCGAATCTGCAAACCAAATTTAGATCCGACTTCCGGTTCGAAAGTTATGGCGTTTTGAAATTTTGAGAAAAATCGATCTGATGATATCCTTATAGAAAGTCAAGAGTAGCGAAGAAAATATAGAAAAAATCATCCATCCTTCCTTCCTATCCTGTCTGATCATATCCCTCCTATCTATCCTTCCTTCCTATCCTAGCCTTCCTTCCTATTCTATATCCTATCCTATATCCTATCGTATATCCTATCCAATCCTATCCTTCTTTCCTATCCTTCCTATCCTATCCTTCCTTCCTATCCTATACTATCCTATCGTTTCTTCCTATTCTATCCTATCCTTCCTTCCTATTCTGGAAGGAAGGATAGGATAGGAAGGAAGGATAGGATAAGAAGGATAGGAAAGAGGGTAAGGACTGGACGACTTGGCTTATTCTGGACGACTCGGCTATATCCATCCCACCTATCCTATTCAATCCTATCCTTCTTTCCTATCCTTCCTATCCTATCCTTCCTTCCTTCCTTTCTTCCTATCCCATCCTTCCTATTCTGTCCTATCCTATTCTTTGTTCGGATTCTATTATATCCTATTCTATCCTTCCTATCCTATCCTATACTATCCTATCCTTTCTTCCTAGTCTGTCCTATCCTTCCTATCCTATGAATTCATCCATTCATCCATCAATCCAACCATCCATCGGCTTATTCTGGATGACTCGGCTTATTCTGGATGACACAGCCTATTCTGGATGACTGGGCTATTTTGGATGACTCGACTATAATATCCATCCCACCTATCCTATCCAATCCTATCCTTCTTTCCTATCCTTCCTATCCTATCCTTCCTTCCTATCCTATCCTACCCTTCCTATTCTGTCCTATCTTATTCTTTCTTTGGATTCTATCATATACTATTCTATCCTTCCTATCCTATCCTATCCTATACTATCCTATCCTTCCTATTCTATCCTATCCTTCCTCCCTATTCTGTCCTATCCTTCCTATCCTATCAATCCATCCATTCATCCATCAATCCATCCATCCATCGGCTTGTTATGGATGACTCGGCTTATTCTGGATGACTCAGCTTATTCTGGATGACTCAGCTTATTCTGGATGACTTGGCTTATTCTCAAATACTCGGCTATATCCATTCCACCTATCCTATCCAATCCTATCCTTCTTTCCTATCCTATCCTTCCTTCCTATCCTATCCTACCCTTCCTATTCTGTCCTATCTTATTCTTTCTTCGGATTCTATCGTATCCTATTCTATCCTTCATACCCTATACTATCCTATCCTTTCTTCCTATTCTATCCTATCCTTCCTTCCTATTCTGTCCTATCCTTCCTCCTATCAATCCATCAGTCCAGCCATCCACCTGCTTATTCTGGATGACTCGGCTTATGCTGGATGACTCAGCTTATTCTGGATGACTTGGCTTATTCTGGATGACTCGGCTTATTCTTGATGACTCGGCTAAAAAAGGTCTTAATCTGGAGTCTGAAATTGAACTTGTTCAATTTCCAAAGTCTAGTTATTATTATTCTTTCAGAATCTTCCTCCTTCCCAGATTTCTCACCAACTAAAAGAATTTACTTTAAGCTGCTTACATGATCAACTAGCGGCAGTACCTGGGATGATGGGAAATTAGGTCAAATTTTTATCTAGGTCAAGGGTCAAGAACTAGGTCAATTCAAGGTCAAATCAACATTCTGTCAATTATCTTCGTTGTTGTTTGTCGTAACTACTTCGTCTTAGTTTCTACTTGTAGCTTAGAAAAAAACAAATCGAGAGTGTGCCATCCGTTTTTTGATTACTCTTAGCGATTTTGAGATATGGCGTCCTGAAAGTAGGTCAAAACCAAAAAGTTCTCCAAATTTAACATATGAGCTATGAAATAAGGGTAGAATTTTCTCAGGAATCCGAATCTGCAAACCAAATTTTAATCCGACTTCCCGTTCGGAAGTTATGGCGTTTTGAAAGCTCAAAAATCGCTAAATTTGGTGCCCATGTTAAGTCAATGGGAAAAAAGATTTTTTTGAAGTGAAAAATACGAAATATAGACTGAGTTCAGCTAAATATAATGAAAGCTTTTAAAAGAAGGGGACCTCATAAGCCATCTAGCTTCAAAATTTGGACACCAAAATGCCTAGGTCAAAATCTAGGTCAAATTCAAAGTTTTTCCTTATTTTTGCGATTCTGACACAACAGATTAATTATATTCTTCGAAATTTTGTGTACATGTAGCTAAGAGTCTGCTAATAGTGTTAGCCTTTTGCTGTCAGAAAGTATTTTGCCCCATTTTTGAGATATGGTGTCCGAAAAGTAGGTCAAAATAAAAAATTCTCAAAATTTGACGTTTGAGTTATGAATTAAGTATAGAATTTTCTCAGGAATCCGAATCTGCAAACCAAATTTCGATCCGACTTCCGGTTTGGAAGTTATGGCGTGTCCGAAAAGTAGGTCAAAATAAGAAGTTTCCAAATTTAACGTATGAGCTATGAATTAAGGATAGAATTTTCTCTGGAATCCAAATCTGCAAACCAAATTTCGATCCGACTTCCGGTTCGGAAGTTATGGCGTTTTGAAAGCTCAAAAATCGCTAAATTTGGTGCCCCATGTTATGTCAATGGGAAAAAATATTTTTTTGAAGTGTAAAATACGAGATATAGACTAAGTACAGCTAAACATAATGGAAGCCCATAAAAGAAGGGGACCTCAAAACCTTCCAATCTTGAAAATTTGGACAACAAAATGCCTAGGTCAAAATCTAGGTGAAATTCAAAGCTTTTCCTTATTTTTGCGATTCTGACACTACACTTTAATTATATTCTTCGAAATTGTGTATACATGTAGCCAAGAGTGTGCTAATAGTGTTAGCCTTTTGCCGTCAAAAAGTATTTTGACCCACTTTTGAGATATGGTGTCCCAAAAGTAGGTCAAAATAAAAAAAATCTTCAAATGTAACGTATGAGTTATGAATAAGGGGTAGAATTTTATCAGGAATCCGAATCTGCAAATCAAATTTTGATTCGACCTCCTGTTCGGAAGTTATGGTGTTTTGAAAGCTCAAAAATCGCTAAATTTGCTGCCCCATGTTATGTCAATGGGAAAAAAGATTTTTTTGAAGTGTAAAATACGAGATATAGACTGAGTACAGCTTAATATAATGAAAGCCTATTAAAGAAGGGGACCTCGAAGGCTACTTAGCTCCAAAGTTTGGACACCAAAATGCCTAGGTCAAAATCTAGGTCAAATTTATAGTTTTCCCTTATTTTTGCGATTCTGACACTATATTTAAATGATTTGCTTTAAGATTTTGTATACAGGTAGCAAAGAGTATGCTAATAGTGTTAGCGTTTTGCCGTCAGAAAGTATTTTGACCCACTTTTGAGATATGGTGTCAGAAATGTAGGCCAAAGTTAAAAATTTTCCAAATTTAACGTATGAGTTATGAATTAAGGGTAGAATTTTCTCAGAAATCTAGATCTGCAAACGAAATTTCGATCCGACTACTTGTTCTGAAGTAATGGCGTTTTGAAATCTCAAAAATCGCTAAATTTGGTGCCCAATGTTAAATCAATGGGACCGAATAATTTTTTGAAGTATAAAAATACGAGATATAGAATGAGTACAGCTAAACATAATGAAAGCCCATAGAAGAAGGGGACCTCAAAAGCTACTTTCCTTCAAAGTTTGGACACCAAAATACCTAGTTCAAAATCTAGGTCAAATTCATAGTTTTTTTTATTTTGCGATTCTGACACTACACTTCAATGATATTCTCCGAAATTTTGTAAACTTGTAGCAAAGAATGTGCTAATAATGTTAACATTTTGCCGTCAATAAGTTTTTTGACCCACTTTTGAGATATGGTGTCCGAAATGTAGGTCAAAATAAAAAGTTCTCCAATTTTAAAGTATGAGTTATGAATTAGGGGTAGAATTTCCTCAGGAATCTGGATCTGAAATTAAAATTGCAATCCGACCCCCGGTTTAGATTCTACGCCATTTTGAAGTTTGAAATTCGCACTTGCCAGTATTCACGATGCAGATTGATCAAATATACTTTCAAAAATTCCTGCATACCCTACTTTACCTCTCTACCTACTCAGCTACTTATTACTTACTTACTCAATTACTTAATTAGTTATTACTTCCTTAGCAACTTACTCAGCTACTAACTCAGGTACTTACTCAGCTACTTACTCAGCTACCTACTCAGCTTTTTACTCAGTTACTTACTCAGCT